CATTAATTAGGTACAAATAAACAAAGATATTTTATAAATCTTTTTCAAAGCAACAATAAATGTTAAAAATAAATAACTAAATGGGCTGGCTTTCCAATAAGGGCGGTCGTTAAAGAGATGGTGATCAAAGGGGGAGTGGGCGTGGCACCCAATTGTGATATTTGGAGATTTTTCTAAGGCGTCCCTAGGGACCCATAGGGGGCCTAGGTGGTCTGGGGTGCTACGCCCACTCCCCCTTCGCTCACCACCTCTTCAATGACCGCCCTTATCGGAAATTTTCCCCAACTAAATTCTACAAAAGAATTCCAAACTCTTTCTGAATATATGGTCAGTTTTTTAATTTAAGCCTTATAATTAATTTAATATTTTTCGCACAGGTTTTTTGAAAAATAAAGGGTCCTTTATAGATGTTGCGAAAAAGAGTATTTTTTGTTAACTTTGTAAATACTTTACAATAATTTTATTAATTAGTTTTAAAATTTTAATCCTTATTTGCATTTGCCAGCTTTGGGAGATAAGTTCATGCGGCACTCACGTCTTTTATAGGTGTACTTTTTCTTAGACTTTGTATAAGAAAAGAAAAGAAAAAAACTGTATAGGGTTGGTCGTATGAATGCCCTCCTAGTCACCGGTTCGGAGTCTTTTCGATTGCTGAGTATGAGGCCTTATGTTGGACAAAGACGGAGTATAAAAGACCCAAATGGGGGAAATTAGCCTATATTTACAGACGATATGTAATAAAATAACCGATGAAGACTTTTTTCTTTTCTCCCAAACCCGCTGGTAAACCCAAATGAAGGTTAAAATTTAAAAACGAATTAATAAAATTTTGGCAAAATTTATAAAGGTCCCTTTTATTAAAAACAAAAAAAAAACTGCGCGACAGTTATTATTTTACACCCTGTATATGATAAAATATTAATAGCTGAAAAAAGGAGAACAAAAGAAGTACAAAACTAATAAAGGAGTACATTTCCATATATTTCTTTTGGGAGTACAAGGGAGTACATTGCAATAAAAAGGAGTACGTGTACTCCCAAAAGCAGTACGTCTGGCAACCCAATGTTTGCATCATGATCAGGCATGGGCAGAGAACGAGCACACGCTCAGAGAGCATAACCATGACGTGTACGTATACAAGCAAGAGCGTAACGATGAGAACGCGGCAGCATGCAAAATGAATTAGGCACACTAACACATTCTCACTTTAATTGATCGCTTATTTGTGGTAGTGCCCACCTCTGATTTTGATCAGGCATGGGCAGAGAACGAGCACACGCTCAAAGAGCATAACCATCACGTGTACGTATACAAGCAAGAGCGTAACGATGAGAACGCGGCAGAATGCACTATGAATTAGGCACACTAACACATTCTCACTTTTAGTGATCGCTTGTTTGTGGTAGTGCCCACCTCTGATCATGATAAACACATAAGGTAAAACCATTAAGAGGCAGTCTGACGTTTACCAACAATAGGAGTGTACTCGCACGCCCAACTATCTAAAGTTTTAGAAAACTTTTACTGGTTTTGCGTTCTCGTACCCAAAAAACTTGCAAAGTAGGGGAAATTGAGAGAGCAAAATGTGAAAGAGAGCTTCAAATTTCTGCTGGAAAAATTTTTCCCAGCTAAAACTTGCAAGTAAGAAAATCAGCTAATCACAAACACATGTTTGTAAATAAACAAAAGAAAATATGGCCTTTTTGAGTTATGTATTGCAAATTTTAATATTAATGCTATTAGTCGGCCGCTGTGGTGTAGTGGTAAGCAGTGCACGCTTCCACTCCACAATGCCTGGGTTCAAACCCTGGTCAAAGCAACATCGCAAAAATATAGAAAAAAGATTTTTTCTTAACAGCGGNTTTTTCTTAACAGCGGTCGTCCCTCGGCAGGCAATGGCAAACCTCCGAGTGTATTTCTGCCATGAAAAACAGCTTCTCATAAAAATACAATCGCCGTTCGGAGTCGGCGTAAAACTGTAGGTCCCTCCGCTTTGTGTGACAACATCAAGGCACACGCCACAAATCGGAGGAGAAACTCGGCCAAACACTCACATATGTGTAAGCGTCAATCTATTATTATTATTATATACAACGAAAAAATGAGTAAATTTAATAAGCACAACGTTTGTTGAGTTTGTTTTTCGTTAATTTGCTATTAGATGCGTTCGATAATAAAATTAGCCAACACCAGCCAACAATCAAAATCAAGAGCGTAAGCGAAAATTCTCTCCCAAAGAAAAGAAAAAGCAAAAAAGTAAACGAACAAGAAATTAGCCATCACTTTCAAAAACCGGAAGAAGAAGACACACCACCTGACTTTGTTTATGTTTTGTTTGTAAACAAACTGAAATTCATGTTGCCTCCATGGAGAAAAAAGGAAAGTGAACGGTCAATGTTCGCCAGGAACATTTCTAGAAGTAAAAACTAGTTGGCGCTATCATAAAGTCACATAGAAGGCAGCCAAAAAGTGTATAATTACCAAAACTCGAAAAATGCAATTTTGTTTGTTTACAAAAATTGCCACCATATGTTTTGTGATCATATGTTTTCGTTTTGGATAATTTTTGCTGACTAAAATTTTGCCAGTACAAAATGAACGCTTCTCTTGCATCAAAATGAACGCTTGCTCTCTCAATTTTTGTGTGTTGGATAATTTTTTGCCGTTATCGAACGCCATCCAGTAAAAATTTGGAAAACTATTACAAATTTTTGACTTGTCGAACGCAACTATTAATCTCCAGTTTGTTTACTTTAGTGTGTGCTGACTATAGGAGGGTTCGGTATGCAAAAAATTTGTACAAGTTGGTACCAATTGTTACCAAACCGTGTTCGTTTAGCCAAAAACCCAGTAAAACTTGCAAGGAGAGAGCACAATTTTGACATTTCATTTGGAGGGAAAGTTGCAAATCCGTGCTGGGAAAATTTTTGCCAGTAAGAATTTGCAAGCAGGATTGTGACATACGGTGGCATTTTTATCAGCATTAATTTGAATCAAGAAGTTCGTTAAATTTAAAAATGGACAATCTTGTTGCGATTTACTAATGAAAGAAGTATGTAAATTTAAATAATTCCAAACATTTGAAAGGTACTCGGCTGAAAAAGCTGTATTCGCAATCGGAACGCACTCGACACTACTGTCGATATAGGAAATCCGACAGTGACTTCGACAAAGAAATTGAAGCGTATGTTGAAGAAAGTCAGAATAAGAAGAAATAAACGTATAGGTCCTGTTTTGGTTTCCACCTGAAATAATTTAAAAATTTATTATGCTCGAAATGCAACCGTGTACGTCAGCTGGCAGTGAAGCTTGCAAATGTTTGCTAATTCCTGTTCGCGCAAAACTTAGTAAGTTTCTCTCTTTGGGAGAGTAAGGTACCTTATTCTCTGAATTTTGATACTGGCTAATTCTAACTATCAGTTGCATAGCGAACACCTCTTATGGTTGTCATATAACATTTTTCGTTTGCACCATTTCCTTTAAATATACCAAAATAGATTTAAATGCAGCATGCTGAAATGTTTTTTTGCTGAAGTTTTCGGTTTTGGTAGGTTGATTGTTGAAATGAAAATTTTATAATTTTAAAGCTACATCTGTAGCTATATCTATTACATTTTTTTGGATCAATGATGAGAGTTTTGAGGATACTCTTGTTTTTGAATGCGTCACTATGTGATATCGCAAATACCATTTTTTTTTGGATCAATGATGGGAGTTTGGAGGAGATACTCTTGTTTTTGAATGCGTCACTATGTGATATCACAAATAATTATGAGAAAAATAACTTATTCATTCCGATATAATTAATTTGTATTTTAAAAAGGTTTTTCTTATCCAAAACCTTTCAATTGTATAAAATGCCAAATCGGGGGAAAATGTACCAAGCAGAAAATAAATTGCCAAATTAGTCACCAGTGGCAACTGTGCAAGTGATCAGCTGTTTCGAAGGTTGCAAGTTTTTGCAAATTTTGCGTTCTCGTACTTCTGTTGCTATTTCGTCTTTTTGAGAGCAAATGCTGCCAAATTCTCAGAACCTTTGCTGCTGGAGAATTTTGTCCTCTCAATACGAGTACACACCTAATAGGTGCAATCCCGTATTCGTCGGACTCGGACTAGTAAAACTGTCAATAAATAAAAATTCGCTCAGAGCGAGAGAGTAACGTTGAAAAGTACGGGATCGCTTTCTAGTAAAAAATGGTAACATCTGTCAACTTCAACATAACCTCCAAATTTTGGTTGTAAATTTTTGCTTATTTTGTACGTAAACACACTCACACATGTAAATAACCAAAAATACTTTCAAATTCATTAGAATCCACTTAAACAAGTAATTAAATACTTTTCAACATGAATTAGCAAAGTGCACTTTTCTTTTGTTTACAATTTGGTTGCCAAACACACTACAGCTGATCGTTTGACACATTTACCAGAATTTAACAGCAAAAATTTCTCGGAGTAAAACTGGTAACTTCTGACAGAGAGATAACCGAATTTACTCTCTTTGTTGTCCTCTAAATAGTCGGAGAACAGAGTACGGGATCGATTTCCAGTAAAATCTGACTGATTCTGACTATTTCTGACTAGTCCGGACTCGTACGGGATCGCAACCATTGTGTACAAATACAAGTCAGATATCTTAGCAATAGACGTCATCCTAGGCCACAGCTGCGATCATCTGTTTAGAGTTGCTTATTTTATTTTATTTTTTTTTTTAGTTTTTTATTTTATTTTTTATTTTTTTTGTTTATTTTGTTTAGAGTTGTTTTATTTTGTTTTTGACCTGAGTTGCATTAAATAGCCTCATACAACTTAGTTGTATTTGTGGTTCAAATGGTAAAATATATGCCCAAAAACTTGAAAAATATTAGATGATTGTTTCTTAAAAATGCTATTTATAAAATTTCGTTTTGATTTCGAAATTAGAAATATTCAGATTATAAAAGTTTTCCACATATGTTTTAAGATTTTAAAGTTTTTAAAAAGCACGGTAGAATGCAACAATGTGCTTGAATTTGTTTGCATCTTCGTCAGCTTATTCGTTTGCAGACTAGAAAAATGGCGAACAGCCATCAACATACTGTGACGAATACTGCAGCAACGCGAAGCGAACAACGAGAATCTGTCAAATTTTAAATACACACGTTCTTACGGACACAATTATTTTGACGACAGCACGACATCTTGGCTGCAGGACTGCAATTGTCGACGTCGCCAAATTAAATCTATTTCTAATTTTGCCGGCGACAATGAGTAGATGTAGTGCTGCAAATTAAATTGTCGCAAAATTAATCACATATTCTTGATTGTTCATGTTTTTCTTATTTACTTAAATAAAAATACACAATTTGTGAAATAAATATACCAANACCTCAAGGTTTCGAGGATAATCGTCATATATGTAATACTCCTATATTGGCAGTAAGAGCTAGTACCGTTCGAAAACACTACAGTACAGATATATCAATAAACACGTACGAAAGAAAAGGAACACATACATTTATAAATAAACATGTACACAACACATATACAAAACCGGCACTCAAGTACACAATACATTGACAAAAACGGTACTAGACTGTCTCGCTTTGATTTCGGAATGCTTACACATTGAGAAGTTAGCTTACTGCCAATATAGAAGTATTACATATATGNCTAGACTGTCTCGCTTTCCCTGCAAGACGGGACTACCAGAAACTCCAAAACATTCAAAAAGTTTGATATTGAAACCACCACATGTAAACTTACTTGACACTTATTAAAATGAGTGCGATTTCTCTCTTTTTTACACACTTTAATACGTATCATCTTTTGAACGCTTACTCTCCTAAATCTGTGCAAGAGGGAAGGAGACGACGAATGTTGTATTTATATATGTAGCAGGTGGTATTCCAAGTTGCAAATGTCAAAATCAAATTTGACAAATCATTGTGAAATCCATATAATTCGATTTCTGTGGTTAAAGCGTGTGAAATTTTAACCGTGCGTTCCAATATAAAAGGTGGTGAAGAAAATTAATAAATTAAACAAATAAAAGAAAAAACAAGTAAGAAAGTCTAAGTTCGGGCAGAGCCGAACATTAAATACCCGGCGCACGTATTAAATATATGTTTTTCACCTTACCGAAAGCTACGGCTACATGGTAAGCCGGGGCGTATCAATTTTGAGTAAATTAGAGTCCTTAAATTTCGATTTTGAAGTTTCAAGCAGTTCTGAAATTTACCGTTATATGAGAAGCGGCCGTTATTTTAGTCCGATTTCAATAATTTTCAACGGTTTGCTTATATGTGGCAAGCACAATAACCACACCGAGTTTGGTACAAATTGGTAGAACGGTTACTGAGATACATATATGTGATCATAAGTGGGCGGTGCCACGCCCATTTTCCAAAAATTTATCACAAACGTATTTCTTGGTAAAGAATTGTTGCAAGCATCAATTTTGAATAAATTAGCTTCAATATTTAATGATTTATCGAAGATTTTGTATTTCTCTAAATTACCGTTATATGGGATGTGGGCGTGGTTATTGTCCGATTTTAAAAAGTTTCGGCGGTTTTTTATGCTGTACCAAGGCCAACAACTGTGCCAAGTTTGGAAGAAATTGGTGCAGCGGTTACCAAGATATACACATGTAACCATAAGTGGGCGTGGCTACGCCCATTTTCCAAAAATTTATAATATTCTTATTTTTCGTCTAAAAATTATTGTAAATATCAATTTTGAGTGAATTATCTTCAGTAGTTACTAAAATATCGCAGTTTTCGTATTTCTGGAAATTACCGTTATATGGGAAGTGGGCGTGGTTAAAGTCCGATTTCGCCCATTTTCAATACCAACCTACCTTGGATTAAGGGAAACCTACATACCAAATTTCGTTGAGATATCTCAATTTTTGCTCGAGTTATCGTGTACACGGACAGACGGACAGACGGACAGACGGACAGACGGACGGACAGACAGACATGGCTTAATCGATTTCTTTTTTCATCCTGATCATTTATGTATACATTTGTCTATATCTATCTCGATTCGTTTTGGCTGTTACAAACAACCGTTATGTGAACAAAATTAATATACCCTTGTGCACAAGTGCGCTCGGGTATAATGAACAAAAAAAGTTTCCAGAATTATATGAGCTTAGAAAAAAGAAAGTTTTTGGAAAATGCTAAGCGCTTTAAAATGGAATGCAGTGTTCCATTTAGTGCTAATATTCAAGTGGCCAATAATTGTGGAGAAAAGTCCAATAGTTCTTTGTATAGTGCTCAATTTAGTGATTCCGTTGTCGCCCATTATTCCAATTGCGAAAATGCAATGAATAGTACTCCGCCCAGTGCTCCTGCTGAAATTGCAGATGATTCCAATCGCGAAGAAGGAATGTGTAGTGCCTCTTCGTTGTATAATCTTACAGCTAATCCTGCACAAGTGCCCAGTAGTTCATCTTATGAAGAAGATATGTGTAGTGATAGTTCAGATGTCATAAAAAAATAAGTGATTCGTGCCCCAGGGATACAGATAAATGCAGGGNCACAGCTAATCAGTGTTGCCAGAACTTTTTGGGCCGACCGGCTAGATTGGCAAAAAAAAGCGGCTAAAAACGGCTAAAATGTTTTAGTGGAATTTCACATAGACTCTGGCAAAAAACGGCTAAAATGTTTTAGCGAAAATTCACATGCTTTATTTAAATAAATCGTCGCAAGAAACGAAAGACTAGTTAACACCATTAATTTATATCGAGTGTATATTCCTCATCATCAAATGAATCACTATTGTATATATCACCTGAATTCATTAATTTTAAGAGATCGTCATCTACAGTAAAATTATGGCAGCATTTTTCTTCACGTTTTAAACCGTATCTTATATATAAAATAGCGTTTAACGTTTTAACGCACATTGGATTTCTTTGCTTAGTTTTTAACCGACTTTCAAAAAAGGAGGAGGTTATCAGTTCGTCGGAATATATATTTTTTTATGTATGTTACCGCATAACTTTGGACTACGTCAACCGATTTCGATAATTCTTGCATCGGAAAGGTAGTGTCTCAGAGGTGGTCCCATACTAATCTGGTTAAGATCCGATCAGCGGATCATGAGATATATATAGGGTGTCCCAGAAGTAACGTGCCAAACTTTAGGGGAAGGTAGGTGGGGGGGGGTGAGCTCCCTGATAAACAAAAAATTTTCAGGTAACAGTGTCACCGTTTTTGAAATATTTACATTTTTTCGAATTTAAAAAAAATCGTGCCTTTTCATGTGTTTTCTTTAACTGCAACTACAAACCGGGCAATACTTAGTAAATTTTTTATGTAAAATACTTCCAGCTAGTTGCCTCTCCATACTCAAATGCAATGTTGTTAAAATATATTAAGGAACCATCATAAAATTAGGACTATTTCTGGATTTTTAACTTTTTGATATTTTCTTCCCCAACTTTGACTATCTCGGGTGAAAAAAAATGTACTGAGCTATAACTTTACATTACATAAAAAAATTGCTCATTTAATAAAGATTTCAGAAAGGTGCCACACTTACTGTTTTGAATAGAAAAAAAAAGTTATAGCCGCTTTTGTGGGTAAAGGACTGAGACA